TCCCAGAGATCCCTGTTGCTGATCTTTTCTGGCCATCTGATCTTGAGTATTGAGCGAAGATAGCTGTTAATGAAGGTCTGAAGTTTGTTTGAGATGCTCTTTATGACTCGCCAAGTCTCTGATTCGTATAGTAGTGTTCTCTAATCCTAATTATCCTCATTTTATTTACTCCATTGTCAATACTCTCCTGTGATTTCAATCAGCATTTACTTTATAAAGGCAGTCCCTAGCACAGTTTCAGTTTCTGTTTAGTGTACTGAAGTCTAGCCCAGATAAAAATCATATTGTCTACCTATAAAACTTCTCTTTTCAAAAGTTAAAGCCTGAAAATAAAACGTGAGATGTCTAACATGTACAACTTACAATCTGTCTGTTTATATATTTATTATCGTATCGATCTTCATTTGTGTATCTCGACAGTTTTATCTAATTTTATGGTATTCCATAATTAGATTTTTATACTATTGAAATCCCCCATTTATTGATTTCTATGTATCGAATTCATTCAATTTTCAAGTATCAAAATTATCTTTCTCTTTCTATTTTTTTTTGTTACATTCCATCTTTATGCACTATATATTAAAACGAATAAACTTATCAAGTGTCTTTCATATCTGGACTCTTATCAAAAAAGGGATAGAAGGAATATTAATCTTCCACTCTGATGATTGTAGTTGATGTTAGACTGGTTAGTGTAGGATGATGTTTTTCTTCTTATTGTCTCACTACACTTTATATGGACTAGTATATTTCAAGTTATTATATGACCGTAGATAAATATTCACTTGGATTTGCTTTTACATTGGAAAGAGTAAAAATTAAGTGAATTTTCCAAGGCTAACTACATCTTACTTCTCAACTGCTCAATAAAAGAGGAACTTTTCAAGTCGTTGGTCTTTAGGGATTTGATCGGTTTCAAGGTTAGTTAGAAAACGTTGATGGGTACTCATCAAGAGTCTTTGTCTTAGATGAGGAAGATATCTAGCGCTCCTTGGTGTTCAGTGGTTCTCTAACTTATGTCTCTCTGTGACTTAAAAGTCTGATCATCTGTGAAGTATTCACAGCTGATTAGCATATCTAGAGAATAAAATAGGTTTCCCTTATAGCAACATTTAAGTGTCTGTTTGTACAAGGCAAGATACGCCTTCATTAACCTGAAACCAGTTTGGAAATCTACTGCACTCTGCCTCAACGAAATGGCTGGCAGGCCAGAAAGAATTAGCAACAAGAAACCCTGGCGGGCAACAAGCCAACCAGTAGCCTACTTCTCAACAAATATGAAGGAGAAAATGGAGATGGATCAGTCATATGTGGAGGAAGCCGTCGAATGTTATCATGTGCAATGCCTTCCTCGACGGGCAATATTGGCTGACATAGGGTCAGACTGGAAAAGAGCTAGCGTCGGTCAAACGAAAATATGGTACCAGTCAATGAAATACACAACGGTTAGTTTAAGCCAGTCACGTAGGAAAGTGTAGACTTCCTGGTTGGGATCCTCGGGACGGTAAAAACGAATGGCTGGAAACAATTGGTGATATGGCTCAAAACCGTTCTTAATGGCTGGCTCAGATGCATCCACTTCTTGTGACTTATGATTTCCAATGAAACTATATTGTTTGATATTACTATTCCTTTGTCTCACACCTCTGTTTACTGTCTCTATTATGCATTTTTTCTACTTTCTCCTCTTGCTTTGTGTGCTACAAGGAGGGAGTGTGGCGACTTGAACTGCTGCACATATGTGCAAAGTTGTATGTCGAAAACAGACAGACGTGCAATGCAGGCCATCACTCGAGTGGAATCCGAATGGGAAGCGACGAGTGGGTCATCGGTGTGAGGGTGATATGGAAGAGATCTTGCGAGGAGGAGGTAGGAGATTATGGACAGTTGTGTGACCAGCCAGATGAAGTGGGCAGCAAAGAATAGAAGATGGTAAAGATGTATTGTTAAAGCCTAATTTTCTACTCGGAACCCAAGGGTAGCTGATGGTAATTATCATAGTTTCAGCCTACACGTAATTCGAACAGATGTCTAGTAATAATGTGATTCTTAGAATAAAAGACTATTTTTGGATATCCTCCAATCAATCATTGGTGGAATGATACCATACTAGTGAAGATAGGACTTGAAGTGAACATAAAGAAGACAGAGGTGTTGAAAAACGATCAGTGACAACAAGCACCAATCACTATCAACTTAAGAAACCTGAATGAGGCCACCTCTTTCACTTGTTTAGTTAGCGTCTTTTCAACTACAGACACTACAGTCAGGATCGGAAGAGCCAGACAGATCTCCGTAACTTTGAAATCAATGTGGAAGTCAGCTGCAATCAGCATAAAAAACAAGATTCGAATTTTCAATACTAATGTCAAATCACTGCTTCTATGCAGTTCAGAGACTTTGCATGTCACAAAAAGTAGCTCAGCAGACTGCAGATTTTCATCAACAGCTGCCTTCGGTCAATACTACACATCAGATGGTGGGCCAGAAAGGATAAGAAACAAGAACCTATTTCTGAATAAACATTCAGAAAGAAACGAAAATGGATCGAACACACACTGAGAGGACCGTTGAGTGACATTGCGCACCAGGCGCTCTAGTTGAACGCGAATGGAAAGCAAACAGTTGGGTATCCTAGAGTGACATGAAAAAGATCGCATGAGAACGAAGTGAAAGCATATAAGCAGTCATGAAACCATCTAAGGCTGACTGAAGAGAACAGGATGAATTGAAGAGGTGCTGTTGATGCCTTATGTTCTACCTGATGAACCTAGTGTAATAATAATAATAATACCGTAGCTGAAGTTTAGGTGTGTTTTTTGCACAGTTTCTTCTGACTTGTTAGTACTTAAAGGGACTGTGTTTTTCTCCATACAACTTTTTAAAGTAAGATTACAATACAGACACTATCTTACAGAATTATTCCATACTAAGTAACTCTATTTGATATAGCAAATGTTTACAGAGAGAGAGAGAGAGAGAGAGACAGGATGTTGCAGTATTATTAAGGAGATGATAATCAAAGCACCGCTATTCGCTCATGGTCACACTGAAGGAATGTAACGGTTCTTGAAATGTATATCCTGTTAATTATCCTGTATTTTTTATGTGTGAGCTATGTCACATAAATTCATCTGATGCGGAATGTTCTATTTTTATTTTTACGAGTTGATCACGGATTGATATCATTTAGACAACCATTGAAAACCAAGGAGTACTGGACATCTGTTTCATCCTTGTTTGGGAATCATCAGCAGTACGCACTAACTACCATGGTTCGAACCCAGGGCGTTCCGGTTACAAGGCGAGCTCGTATACCATTCAGCCACTGGGACCCGATTCAATGGCCACTCCATGAATTCTAACTTCTAACAATTCGTGATTTAGCTCGACCCTAACCATTGTCGTTGGTGGGATATCCATCCTCACACGTGACATCTGGACGGGCCTCAGTGGTCACGACTTCTCACTAGAACACCAGGAAACTCCATCCTGTAGCAAGTCAATCCGTGATCAACTGGTAAAAACAAAACTAAAACTTACAATACCAAACTATAGAATATCTATCTTTATTGTTTTGCAAAGGGATTTTAAGTTGTCCAATTGTTTCTTCTTGTTCAAACATCATTTTTAAACTGATTTCTTTTAATTTCACTGTGTACTTTATTTCTCAACTTGAAAGACATTCTGTGTACTTTTGAACGAAAACTATTCAAATGTTTTAAGGGCTAATGATTTCTTTCTCTTTGTTTTCGTTGAGTAGAAATATTGACCGGTAAGCAGGAAGAAGACCTTTAAATTTGTAAACAATTATCTTTTTTCGAAATGTCAACTCCCTCGAGTTTTGTTCACTCTTCATTATACACTGACGTCTGTTTGAAGACTGATATTTTTAAAATCTTGTCTATGTCAGTTATATTAAATAGTTTTTTCGAGGAGAATTTGTTTAACTGGATTTATATTGACTAAAGTTACTTTACGTGATTGGTTGACTAACGTTCTCAAGTTATCATTTAGTCGATGATTTTATGTATCGATTGTTGTTGTTTTTCTGTTTGCTTGTGAAGCATAATGTTGATGTTTACTCACTTTAGCTAATGATTGCACTTCATTATAAGTCATTTAATCGTCGAAATTCAAAAGTAGCCACAAGTAGGCTTCTCTAATTCACCAACACATACTTATAACCTCCTTATAAAGTTGTTCTACTCAAAATTCTCTTTTGATTTATACTAATAAGGCTTTACGGTTGACGTATTTTCTGTTGATATATAGAACAGTGAAAATAACATATGAGCTGATAGAAACCACTAATACACACTAATTAACCTTAGATGATCATTAACGATATAGCTGGATGGATCCATTACTGATAGGTGAGATTGTTACCAGGTAATCAGGTAGACTATTATTCGTGACACTAAATCGAAAATTTACAAAATTCACAGTTTAGACCTAAAGTTTGAGGTGAAACTTCACCTCGGATGAGCTGTTCTGCAGATGTGATAACTCGCTGACAGCTTTTTTTCAGTAGTCAATCAGTAGTATGTTATTGTATTAAGGCATTGCTTGCATCACTGGATGGTAAGTTTACTCTGGAAACATAGGTAGGTAATATGTCACGTTTACTTTTCTTGTTAGGTCATTGAAAACAACTGGAGACTTTCAACACTGGCTTGCGCACTGATCAGTTTATTCACTTCAGTTTTACTCCAGAAACTAAACTGTGAGCTGAATACCTTATTAGCAATGCTGTAGGTCGGACTACTAAGTGGTACAGATTTCAGCTTCTTGTCACAAGCTGACTCACTACTCTCAAGTCTGTGTGGAGGTCAACAGCACTCAGAATGAAAATTGAGATCCCGATTTTCAACTCTAATGTGAAATCAGTGCTACTGTAACAACAGAAGACAAGGGCCAGGCAACAGATCGTTTTATTATGAAAATCAACACGTATTTATACATATTTCAGACAACATTATTATAGACAAGCGCAGTCATCTGATTGGTTGTTTAGGTAGACAAACGCAGGCTTCTGATTGGTTGTTTCGGGATTCCTTGACAAACAGAGTTCTCTATCTGCGAATCATATTTTGCCACGTTAACTTCGCTGTGATTGGTTGTTGACTCAGCCTTGTTCACGGCCCATATTAGTGACCTAGACCTTAACGTAGATTAGTGCCAACCAATCGGCTAGCAGCCTGCTCTCACCACACTCGTCCCCCCGTCAAATACGTGCGACTGAAGTCGGCTTGATCTACTTGGTGCAGGCGTCATCGTTGGCTTGTCTCGCTGTATCCATTTCTGGAGCTCGCTGACGTTCACGCGCCTCTTATTGTTCGCCATTGCGACTGTGTCTGCGTAACCCCATCTCGAAGTGACCATATATGGTCCTTCCCACTTTGGAAACTGTTTGCCTGACCCTGTCGAACATTCGTCCATACTTCGGCTCACACTTTCATATGCTGCTTTCACCCGACCTCCCAGCAGCGTCCCAAGTAGCAGCTCCATCGCTGACAGATCTTGAACGCCACTCAACTGCGCAGAAGCCTTGAAGTCCTGCCCGAAGATCCATATGTCTCCATCGAAAACAGCAGGGCATAGGCTTTCCATTTGTCGGTAGGCAGCGACACCAAATGTAACAACAGAAGACAAGGGCCAGGCAACAGATCGTTTTATTATGAAAATCAACACGTATTTATACATATTTCAGACAACATTATTATAGACAAGCGCAGTCATCTGATTGGTTGTTTAGGTAGACAAACGCAGGCTTCTGATTGGTTGTTTCGGGATTCCTTGACAAACAGAGTTCTCTATCTGCGAATCATATTTTGCCACGTTAACTTCGCTGTGATTGGTTGTTGACTCAGCCTTGTTCACGGCCCATATTAGTGACCTAGACCTTAACGTAGATTAGTGCCAACCAATCGGCTAGCAGCCTGCTCTCACCACACTACTATACGGATCAGAGACTTGGCGCGTCACGAAAGGGACTTGGAACAAACTACAGACTTTCATCAGCATTTCGGTCAAGATCAGATGGCCCGAAAAGATCAGCAATAGTGATGGATCTATGGCAATTAGCGAACCAACCCATCAGGAACCGATTGTACAACAAATCAGCAGGGAGAAATGGAGGTGAATTGGCCATACTCTGAGGAAACCATCAAGTGACATCACACGATAGGCCATCGCTTGATTGGAACCCTGACGGGAAGTGGTGAGTTGGTCATCAGTGCGAGGCTGACATGGGGGAGATGATGTAAAGAGGAGATGAGAGCATGTGGCCAGACGTGGAGCCAGGTGAAAACGTTGGCAGAGAACCAAACGCAATAGAGACGTGCGGCTGAAGCCTCATGTTCCTCTAGGAACTAAAGGAAACAATAATATAATAATAATTGCAAGCTGACAAATATAACTTTTTGATAAATTTTTCCAGTGGAAATCATCTAGATTCAGGGTTTTGTGGTGGTTTTGATGTAAACAAAAAAGTTGACTTTGTTTCAGAAATACTGAGGTAAAGGATAGTTGTATAATGGCATAGCGTAGTCCCTTTTTTACTATATAGCTTTAAGGAGACAAATGTGTGACTTGTAGTTCAGATAACTCCAGAGAAACTTTGGTTTTTAAAGTGATCAGACTAAATTACTTCCTGTTATTACTGTCTATTTCGACTGTAGTTCGGGGTGTTCGTCAGTGTGTGTCTGTGTGCCTAAAGTCGTTTCTTGTAGTATTTACTTTTTCCACAGTTTATGCATAAGTTTTATTCTATTTTGAGATTATAGAACATTCTGTGTAATAAGCAATAATATTTCTTGACTATCATTCAAATATTTTGTTCCCACTCAGTAGACCATCACAAAGTGTTTGAATTGCGTATGACGTAAAATTGCTTGTAATTTGTTCTAAAGTGTGAAGTTGCTGTCTAAACTACATCTAACTGTGTTTTGATATCAGCCTAAATGTGAAATCATATCCGGTAATTTTATAACTTTTGATTAAGTCTATTTTAATGTGTCTCCTGTCTTTGTTAAGTACAATACACCAAGGAAATTATTGAGAAGAGGTTTTTAATTGTGATCAGTTTAAGCGGAGGTTTAAACAACACATTCATTTTGTCTGTATCCCAAGGTTCAATAATTCAACATTACTCGTCATCGACTTCATCAGGCTTACACCAGATGTTTTAACTTTATGTTACTTGTATGTGGGTGTGAAGAAGAAGACGAAGAATTAGGGCTTCAGTTGAACTATCTTTTTATTCCTTCACGTTCGCCAGTGTAACATAGGGCCTCAAGCTAGTGGCTTGAAGTTTCTGTAGCAGTGTTTATTTTACAGGATTGGGTTCCTAGCCTCATACCCAACCTTTCCTCTTTTCCAGTCTCACTACTGGCTTAGCGAGGTAGAGGAGTGAGTCGTCCGGGGATCGAACCCCGGACCATGTGCATGGTCGGCGAGAGTCCTAACCGCTATGCCATCGGTGCACTGAGCTATCTTGCTATAGGATATTCGTTGAGTCAGTTAGTCAGTTTGAATTCTTTTTTAGATGGAAGTTATGTTTACCTTTTTGTGGTTACTGTTTGAAGTATGAATGCTGCTCAGTTTAATTTTGCTTTTAGTATTTCTAGCTCAACAGAAATTACTCGTAACCGAAAGAGTGGAAAAGTCTATGAACTAAATGTACTTGTTCAGTTTCAAGTGAAACTGAATGAATTTGCATCACTTTTCGAAACTGTAGTGCGATGCTATGCTTTGTCACCTGAAAATAACCAATTCTGATTATTGACTAGAAGTTATTCTGCTAGCTCGCCAATCGATGTTGGGAGTTGGACTAACATATCTTAAGTAACACTGAAGTTCCCAATATCACTCACTGTTGGGTCTTTCCCTATGTTTATTTATATGACTTAAACAGACTTGGTGTTATTTGGATGACGGTGGCTAGCAGCAGAATTCAAGACTCATGTTTCGTTTTATTTGAGGCTTGTCAACTGGATGTATCTAAAGTCTAGTGAATGACAGTGTCCCTACGAAGACTCGGAGATGTCAGAGACACTGAACACCTTGACAGAGAGAATTCATACAACGGGAATCTTTAAAATAATTACAAGCAGTTAATTCTATTCGCTTTACTCTTTCTTTTTCCAGATGCATTATCTGTCATTAGTCGTTATTTTGAAGATTCGGTCTTTGTGAACAAAATTCTAAATGTTGACACTGGTGGTGAATATAATACCGGGAAACATGAAGATTTGATATTCCTACGAAGTTTCTTGGAAAACTCATCTTTACGTCGATGTCTTACAGTAAGTGTTGGAAAAATTGTATTTAATTTCTTTAAGACAATGAAATATCTTTATTAATTGTAAATCGAAATAGGCGTCTTTTGGACGAAATGGTTTCTTTTTTTAAAAGTAAATATGCATTCAAGCGCTTGTAATTCAAAGGATAGCATACTATCTCAACACTTTCTATTCGATTTCAACTAGAGGGAGTGTTTGACGCGTTATGTTAGGCAACGGTCTCTTCAGCTTGGTGTCTAGTCTGTCCCCATTTCCTTCTGTATAGTCGGGTAATAGGTTCTAGGTTGGTTCACTGTGTTCCTTTCTGGCTAGCCATCTGATCAACATTGTCGAGCCACTGAAAACAAGTCGTTGATGAAAGTCATCAGCGGGCTGTTGTAAATGCTGCTTTTAGTGACAAAGGCACCAATTCTCTGATGTATACAGAAGCAGTGATTTGACTTCTTTGCTGAAAATTCGGGTTCCGTAAATTTCCACGTTAATTTCAGAGTAATGAAGTTCTGTTTTACTCTTACGATCCTGACTTGCTTTTTACATCTTCCTCTTACAGTAGGTCGGGTGTGATGACATTCACTAGTGGTCGCGTCATATCAGTAATTGGCGAGATTTGAATTCATGGACCATTGGATCGAGTCCCATTGGCTCATAATAGTCTAATAGCTTGCCTTGTAACTAGAAAGTCCAGGGTTTAAACCCTGGTGGTGGGCGCGTACTGATGAAGAGTCCCTAACTAGGACGAAACGGCTGTTAAGTACTCATATCTGGTTTTCCAATGGTCCTCTAACCGATGTCACTTCATAATGAAATCCTTTTACATAGTCAGGAGAAATCTTATTATGTCTAGGATGCACTTCATTGGTCTCATACTTAAGATGATGATTGTTCCTTCTGACTGATTTACGGGTACACACAGTAGTGTACACATATATTCACTTCATTTTATTAATGTTAAAATTTAGTCTTTTTCCTTCTTATTTTGCAGTATTTCAAGGTGCATCAATTTGTACCAGTGCATTTCTCTGTGCAAGGTGCTTTGGTAATTTGTGTTCGCTAGTTCAGTTTTGAATCCTCAGGGATACTTTAAGTGTTAGTAGAGGTATTAGTGTATTTTTCTGTTGAAGTTGTACTACTGTTTACTTGGATTTCTCGTTGTGATGTATGAAATTGCATGGAAGCATATTCCACAGAGTCTATTTCATTACCATTCATCTCTTTGTATCTCACAATACATATATGTACTGTTTATCTGTCTGATGCATCACAGTAATCATAGTCAGTTATTTCATTGTGTATTCATGCTAACCATATTCATATGTATGTTATTTCCACCTCCTCCTAACCCTGTATTCATCTAGTTAATTGATTCTCTTGCTGATAATGATTCGAAATCCATCGCTGAACAGCTAAGACCTAATAATCAATCATTACGAGATAGTTTGAGAGCTTTGTCAGAGCTATGGACAGAATTAGAAGAGTTTGTTATGCGAACAAAAGAAAAAGATGAACCAGAGGCTCATGAATTATATGATCTTTTGGCAGATGTTCATATTAGGGTAGGTTTAATATTCTTTTTAATATGTATGCGATTTCATGGATAAATTTATTTATATGATCTCTTGAAATTGTAGGATACTCTGGAAAGTCTCAGTTAGTAACAAATGCAATCACATAATGGCTGTTTGAATTAACCATAAGATGATATATAGTGATATTCTATTAGATGAATATGCTATGGCATTACAGTTTCCTCTCTCTGAGCATTTATGCTTCTTTATCCTGATTGAACTCAGTTACACAGAAGCATATCTGTTAAAAGCCACACAATTATTGATACTACCCAGTTGCTCAGACTGAGAAATAGGTGAAATGGAATTGGTTTCTGCAACGTACTGGCTAAAAGTCAGCTGCTTCTAATCATAACGTCAGGGTGGTATTTTTAGTTTCGTTCGACTTTGATTTTAAGTGTTACGGGTTGAAATCAATGATAGGAAATAGTTTCTCTGTGAAGCAGAAAAGTAAAACACTTATAGTGTTCATTTGATGCTCACTAGCGACTGATGCTATTCAGACAGTAACCTGAGGTTCTTGTGGGAAGTCGTTAACAGTAGGGTGCAGCAGGTTGAAGTTGAGGCAGTAAATCATAGAAGAAGACATTGGGAAGTGGTTGTCATATGTCGTGAATTGGCAGAAGTTAGAATTCATGGGCTGGTCATTGGATCGGATCTCAGTAGCTTAATGGTCTACGAGCTCGCTTGCCTTGTAACCAGAAGGTCCTGAGTTCGAGCCACGCAGTGTGGGTGTGCACTGATGAATAGTCTCAAACTAGGCTGACGAAACAGCTGTCTAGTACTCCCAGGTTGGTGTCATAATCAAGTGTTGGTTTGCAGGGATTTGACTGGT